TTTTTTTTGAAAAAAATCATGTGGCTTCCACCTTGCATTAGGTGTATGCCACCAAATTTTTGGATCATTTGGGCCAGTAGAATAAATAATAAAAATCTTTAAAGATTCATTCCCCATCTCCGGACGACGGGGGGGGGAGACGTCCGGTGGAGACGTCCGGTCTCCGGACCATTGGTAACCTAGGTAATTTGTGGTTTAGGAACTCGTACAACAGATTCAAACATTCTTGTGATGAGCAAGAACAAGGACAGACAGACACGCGCACACACACAACACTAATCGCACACGCAGAGTCGCAGACACAAAAAGAAAGCCATACAAATGGACAACAAAAGTACATGTCGTATAACCTCTGTCTTCTTTCGTCAACAGTGCCATCGCCCTGAACATTATCATGACTCCACATAACCGGAGATGGGCATTGATTGCTTCCTTGACAGGAAGGATTGACCCGTCTCCAGTTCCCCCACTTCATACTATCATCACTCGATATGAACGGAGATGGGCATTGATTGCTTCCTTGACAGGAAGGATTGACCCTCTCCAGTTCGTCCACGTGGAAGAACCCAAACCCTGCTCCCATCGAAGCAGTACAGAGACATGTGCACACACGCGCATCATGCACACGATACGAGGTACGCGAACCGCTCCAATCACTAATCGCCAATCAATCCTCCTCCCCTCCACCGACGGTCCCCACTAATCGCCCGTCATGCACACGTGGAAGGCCATCGCAGCGGCGCATGAACAGTGTCATCCATGCGCCTGCCGCTGCGTACGAACACTCGACCTCACCACCTGTTACGCGCGGCCCTGAGGTCGTCCTCCGGGCACCAAATCCGGATAGCGCCATGAAGGTACCCCCTGCCACGAAGGGGAGGCTCCAATTCCGCACTATACGACGCATTCGCATCCATGGCCGCCAGATGTTCCTCGGCGATGGCGGAGATGAGGTACCTCACCATGTCGCCCACGACGTCAGGGTTCGGCGTTTGCCACGTGTCGGGGACAACATTCGATAGTTTTCGCACCCGCAGTACAACCTCCACTAGGTTGTACTCCCCGTCGTAGCCTAGCCATGCCACGATCCGCATGGCCATCAAGCCGTTCACCAGTGCGTAATAGACACGCGTGTCGTCAGTTTGCACGCCAGGGGCCCAATCCATTTTGCGGTCGCGCTCGCTCCCTCGCTCGAGCTTTGTCTCCTGCACGACGACCTCCTTCTCGTCGATCCTCTCCCTTACAACGTCCACGACGTCTGACATCTCTCTGTCTCTCTCTCTCTCTCTCACACACACACACACACAAACACTGACACACATAGACACACACACGATGTCGACGTCTACCCTCTCCCTCACCACGGCCACGACATCCATCACCCGTCGAGAACAGCGAAGGGCGAAAAGTGGCAACCCTCCCCTTTCGCACGATGCCTTCGCGAGGAATACGCAACACACTGCTACAGACCACACAGCCGCCCTATATATAGCCGTCCCCCCCCCCCCCACCATCGGCCCACCAATAGACGTCGGCTGAGGCCCACGGAAAACGGGCACGGGTTCCAGGCACCTGCATATGTACATATAAAGAATATATATATATATATACGCCTCGGAAACCGTACCATTCCCTACGTTGCTAACCGACATTGTCTCCTCACCGCCCGCCGTCGCTGTTCCCTCGTCGTGCCATGACACCCACCAGCAGCTCCAGCACCGCATTTCCCTTATGCATGGCGGTCGCCACCTCGCCAATCTGGGTGGCCATGTCACCTATCCTGCCAGCGACAACATTCGCTCCTTCGGTGCTTGCCTTCGCGAGCACACTAGCGGCCCTGTCCAACACCTTGTCCAGTCCTTCACAGTACGCCCGCGTCGACACATGCATTGCTTCGGCGATGCTTGAAACCGCTGATCCGCTCTCTCCTGTAACCCGACCTTTCCCACCGCCCGTGCAGCGTGTCTTCCGTGCGCTCTCCGTCTCGTCCGTCCCTCCTCGTCGAGAGGTTCCTGCCCCCTGAGATGTTCCCTGCCCATCTATTGTCCTGCCCCCTGCTGATGTAGGACGGGCATCTGACGCCCCGTCGGCTGTTGTCGTCCCTGCTTGTGTTGTCCCTCCGCCTTGAGGTGTCCCCCCCTCCTTCCGGTGTACCTTTACCAGAGCTCCCTCCCTCCCCTGTCTGCAAAGCACTCGTGGCGAGCGTATTTTCACACCTTAGCGACGACAAGTTGTTGTACCAAGCCATGGCCTCCCAAACAGGCTGTTCGAAGGCAGGGAACATCCCCTCCTTCTTTCTCTCCTCCCTTGTCATCTCCGAATACGAGGGTTTGCCCGATGCGCCACACTTGTCCCTTATGACCCTCAACTTGCTCGTTAACTCCGACCATTTCTTCCTGCAGTTCTCGGCCGATCTCCTCCACCCCCTCTCCCCCATCCTCTTCGACACCCACTCGTTTCTCTCTGAACGTTTCATACACTTGTGTCTGCCATCAGCGGCTGCCATAAGCGCGTCATCCTCCCTCATGCATTCGGCAAGGTCGACTTTCTCCTCCAAAACCCAAGGCCTTGTCTGCTTGTTCTTGTCTGGCCGCGGTAATGGCGCTCGCGTCCCCTCCTCCACGCTTGGCCTGCCGATTGTCGGCTGCTCACCGTCCATGTCATCATCACCACCGTCCACGTCGACCAAGCATCGCAGAGAAAGGTTCGACGATCTGACRGTAGGTGACAYAGGAATGTCTCGCATGTCTCGATGGGTGGGAGATTYKTTCCTCGATCGTCGACGACCGGAATCYTGCACCRATGCTCCCCCGTCATTGYCGTGAGGCCTCAYGCTCGATACTCCCTCACTAGKCGGACGATGGSCACTCGCCGTTTGGCCGTACACTGCCCACCGACTGTCCATGCCATTGCTCTTCTCGCCGGTTGATGGCATGGCAGAATGCGAGTGCGTCCATGACCACTCCGCATGTGATTCCCTTGCTCCATCCGTTGATAGTGCAGCTGGGAGGGAAACGACCGAGACATGTGGTGGATGCGCGGACAACGGCTATGGAACGAACGTCGGCGTCGCCGGGATACGTGGTGGATGCGTGGACAGCGGCTGCGGAACGAACGTCGGCGTCGCGGGGCTGGTGAAGTGCTGATGTCCACCATGAGGGGGGACAACGACGATGCAGGTGGCGGGTATGAAGACTGGAATGGTGACCCCATCCTTTCCGGGGGGATGGGGCTCTTCAACCATTCCGGCAGACGACCACCAGCAAAAGGCGATGGAGGTGCGCGTGCTGTCATCCCTGTGTCTTGGCTGATTTGTGACAGACCTTGGCTCAACTGTGACGAGAAGCCGCCACCGTCATCCCTTGCCCCGTGAGGCGGAGCTCTCTCGTCGTCGTATGACCTGGCGATCTCGTGTGTCCATCGCCCACCTTCCATGACAAGATCACGAACAGCCTCGTCTACTTGCCTTGCCGGGACACAGAAATCGTCAACAGCACAAGCAAGAAGATGATGGCTAGCAGCACAAAGACAAGCAACCCGAGCGTGACAAGGACACACAAGACCGCTACCCACACAAAACAGGGATCACAACCCCGTCTCGTCCAATCCACTCCCACGACGACGATGGCGGAAGCACTCTGTCCGGTGGAAGCCTTGGAAGCCGAGTCCTGGCCTTCAACTTCACCACGGCAGCAACAGAGCAATGCTCCCGACCTCGAACAAGGAGGTGATCGTGGAACAGTTCCGGCATCCCCTACCTGCCTTGCAGGCATTAATGGCCTCACACTGCCGGTCGTTGAACTGTTGGGAGCAATGCCTGTCCCATTGCCATGCTCCACATCCCTCACACAGCCGACAGCCAAACCGACGGTCGGGGGCCGCAACCGCCCCCGCAAGCGCATGAGGCTGGACGACAGACTTCCAGCAAGACCCCCTCTCACACTCTCAACATCGAACACAGTTCCACGTTTCCATCCACCGTGGTAGGAGACGGCTCCCCAACCACTGCTACGCAAGGGAGAGTGCGCAAACAGCCACCTTGCACCTGTCTGCTGGCCAAGACGGCCACCAGGCAAACGCGTCACCCACTTCGTACATGCACATAGCATTGCTAGGAGGAAGCTCGACTGCTGACGACACACCCTGCTGGGAACACCCTGTGTCAAGGCACTCAACCCCCAATGGCCGCTGAGAGATATGGAGATGGCTGGGAGAGAGGGCAAGTCTCCAGTTCGTCCACAGGAACTCACACAGTGCAGCAGCCTGACGCCCCTCCATTCRAACGCCGGYCGAAATTCGAAAATCGGMRGGGAGGCCGACTCCCCRTTGGGACCACCRCGCGTCGCCRCACAGTCCCCAACGAATCTCGTGCGACAGACCACGATGGCCGCCTGTGTGTTCCCGGGACTGGCCATTCGGTCCACTGGATGCCTGACGGACAAACGGGCCTTCCGAGGCCGTTCGCGACGGAAGGCCTCCAAGGGACATACCATGTAAAGTTGGCACAAAATTTCGGAAATTGAGCTGCCACGTCCGCTTTCCTGACAAAAAAAAGATGTGGAAACGCCCATTTGATTCTTTCCAGGCCGCTTCCTACAGCCTGTGGGGTCTGAAAAACCACTCCGCGGCAATCCGTCCGCCTTTCCGCGAGCGTCCGCGAGCCTGTGGGTCCAGACCTAAGGCTATCTAGAGGGGACCCCTGCAAGCATAGTTTCCTCTCACTGTGAAGGGGAGATTGCGCCTCCCTTTTCATCTTGCCCTAATCCAACTTTGCATTTCATTAGAAAAAAGGGGGAGGCCATAGAAAGTAACTCTAGGACCATTACCCAGTTTATGGTGCAGGCGTTGGGAATTGTAGTCCAGTAACAGAATTGGCCGCATCCTGAAAAAAGGGGGAGCACATCTCTTTTTTTTCTTTTTTTTCGCCGGTCGTTAGCTACCGAGATTCCCGGTCGATCCGGTCACATTTTGCTGTATTCCCCGCCGGCCACCGTGGCCAACCTGGACAACCCGGCTCCTCTTTCCAGGCAAGCATGCTGCAAGTGCATGTCTGCTACTCTTTTTTGCCCAGAGTGGTGTACCGAGCTGAAACGAGGGAACGGCTATCGCCATCGCTTCTGTGCGGGAGCTAGCAAACGAGAAAGAGTAGGGAAGCAGTGCTGTACTTAGCTTGCACGACCGGGGAAGAAAGCTGCGCTGGCACGTCGTTCCCGCGCTTTCTCTTCAACCGGACCGCTGGTTTTGTTTCGGTCTCCATCTCTGTGACGGTTCGACTGAGCTGCTTCCCGTGCTTTCCCTTCAAATCCCCTCTCTCTTCCCCGGCGTGTGTGTGTGTGTGTGTGTGTGTGTGTGTGTGTGTGTGTGTGTGTGTGTG